GTAGTCTGTTGCTCTGCGTGGCCCTGAATGCTTTGTGCTTGCTGCTCCTTCTGCCCCAGGGCACTGGGCCTCTCCCTTGGCTTGTCCAGTTCTCCAAATCAAAGAGAGAAAGGGTCCTTTTTTGGAGAGTTTCTTTTAGAACACTCTGTCCCCAGACACCCTGTAAATTCTGATTCCGCTCTATGCTTGTAGAACTTTGTTCCTCTCACCCTTTTCATGTTGTTTTATGGTCAGTTGTATAAAGTGGCACTGGCTTGTAACTTCCCTATGGAAAGATCGTATTTTATTCTTTTTTTGTATCCTCAACCCCCAGCCAATACTAGGAACAAAGTAAATGTTTCCGAAAGGTGGGGAGGCGGAAGACTGTCTCATCACTGGACTCACACTGCAGATGAGCAAAATAACTGCTGCTGATTTCTTAATATTTTTTATTAATTAATATGCTAAAATTAATTTTTATTGGCCTCTAATTGATTTACCGGAGAAGGCAATGGCACCCCACTCCAGTACTCTTGCCTGGAAAATCCCATGGACGGAGGAGCCTGGTAGGCTGCAGTCCATGGGGTCGCACAGAGTCGGACACGACTGAAGTGACTTAGCAGCAGCAGCAGCAGCAGTTGATTTACAGCGCTGTGTTAGTTTCTGCTTTATAGCAAAGTGAACCAGTTATATATATGCATATATCCACTCTGTTATAGATTCTTTCCCCATATAGTCCATTACAGAGTACTGAGTAGAGTCTCCTGTGCTACACAGTAGGTCCTTATTAGTTATGTTTTAGGATTCCTTAATATTTAAGTATGGGTGTGTGAACTTAGGTTTAACCCAGAAGAAAGAAATAGTCAGGATTACATTCATCATTTGGGTATAATTTCCATTTACAAAGTCTTAGGATAATAAATATCGTGAGGCCCAAAATAAATGCTGGCTTTCCTCTTTTAAAAAGATAAGGAATTTGAATGCAGATTGTAATGTTTTTCTTCAAAGAGGAATGATTTGCCATTCTTTAATCTGATAAAGCTCTTTATACTTCAAATACAGGCTCAGGCTTTAAATATTAATAACTTCAGAAAGCAGGAATCAAATCCTCAACTTTTCATGAATTAATTATCACAATTTTAAAACTCCAATTTCATAAAGCAAATCATAAAGTGCAAAATGGCTTTTCCAAATAGGGTATTCTTTTTGGTATAATTCATATGATCAAATAAAATTTTATGTGTATTAAATTGAGTATTAATACCATAACTGAAAGTTTCCTGTTTCTTGTTATTGAATAATTTTAACTATACATAGTCAGTAAAATGACTATAAGTAGCATTTTTAATCAACTTTCATTTTTATCAAACTACTGTTTGCATAGTATAAAAGATCAAATATTGCTAAAAGTAACTTTTATAAAACAACAGTCTGTCTTCTTTACCTTTCCATCCCAATCATCTGCCAAGTAATCAATTTCAACTTTCTAAGCTATTTTCTCTAATTTTACTTTCTTATTTCATTTTTTTAAAAATTATTCATTTATTTTTGGTTGCGCTGGATGTTCATGGTTTGTGGGGGCTTCTCATTGCAGTGGCTTCTCTTGCTGCAGAACACAGACTCTAGGCACACAGGCTTCAGCAGTGGCAGCTAATGGGCTCCGTAGGTGACTCCTGGGTTTACGAGTGTGGGCTCCGTAGTTGGGGTGCATGGGCTTAGTTGCTCCTTGGCATGTGGAAACTTCTCAGACCAGAGACTGAACCCGTGTCCCCTACTTTAGCAGGCAGATTCTTATCTACTGCACCAGGGAAGTTCTCTTATTTCTAGATAATATGTCTATACTGCTATCCTTGACTCATCTGAACAGATTCACCTATTGATTTCCTATTATAGATGCCAAGGCTTTCAGCTTATTTATAGCCCCTCTTTCTTTTCCACCATCTTCTCAATAAAATTATGTCTTAAATATCTGTTAAATTGATGTTCAGTGTTTCAATAATTTTGACTACATATATATAGCATGTAGCATATTTTTGCATCAAGTAGCACGATTATATATCCTTTCTTCTATATCTTGTTTTTTTCCTGTAATTAGTAATTGCCTCATTTAAAGACATTTTCTTAATTTTCTTTGAATACCTGACTAAATAGTCCCACATCCTCAACAGCTCTGTAAAATGTCTGTCATTGGATTTTAAATAACTATTAAACATTTTAAATAACTATTTATTAGTTAAGTAACTGTTAAATAACTGAAGAACTACATCCCAGGCCCTCAGCCCCTTTCAGTCCTAGATAGTCCTTGTGTCTCCACCCTCCTGTTACAATCTGGATGCCTCCACCATGGGCCTGTTGCTGTTCTGTTTTGTTGGAATTTCCATTCACCATCACCCTGCAGATTCCGTCTGCCTCTCTTAGGTCTTGTTTCTTCAATCTCTTGTGTCCCAGTGTCCTCCTTCTAAATCGAGTCCTTTTGTGTGAGTGTGTTGTGTGTATAATGTATGGACTTGGTTTCTGAGTCGTGTCTGAAGCTTTACAACCTTACAGACAAAGCCTGCTGGCTCCTCTGTCCATGGGGATTCTCTAGGCAAAAATACTGGAATGGGTTGCCATGCCCTCTTTCAGGAGATTTTCCCAACCCAGGGATCAAACTCAGGTCTCTGGCATTGCAGGCAGATTCTTTACAGTCCGAACCATCATCCACAAACAGCTTCCTAAGAAGGCTGGTTGAAAAGGACATGTCTAGAGGTCCTCCCTGTCTAAACTCTTTTCTACCCTCTCACTTGATGGAGAGTAAAATTTTCCCTTGGAAATGTGGAGGGCTATCTTCATTATCTTCTTCCTTCCATTTGAGAAATATGATGCCATTCTTGTTTTTCGTTTGTTTAAGTTTTGCCTGCAGCCCAGAGCATACAGGATCTCAGTTCCCTGACCACAGATGGAACCCTCGCCCCGTGCAGTGGAAGCACAGAGTCTTAACCACTGGACCACCAGGGAAGTCCCAGTTTGATGGCATTCTTATTCATGCTTTTCTGCTCATTACCACTTCCCCCAATCTTCATCTCCACCCCCAACAGGACTTTTACAATCTTCTGGTTTTCACTAGTGTTTGAAATTTTTATGATGATGAGTCTTTTGGTTTTTTTGAATTGTTCAATGGTTTTAAATTTGTTTTTTGTCTTTTATTCAGTGGGCTTGAATATTCAAAGGAACTTCTATGCAAAAAAAAAAGGCTGATACTCTTCAGCTTCAGAAAATTCTCTTATTTATTAACACCTTTCTTCATCATCTTTTCTGTTCTCTTTTTCTGGAGCTCCTATTATTTAGTTGTGAGGCCTCCTGAATTGGTCAACTAATTTCTTAAGTTTTTTTCTCTTACTGTCCAATTATTTGCCATTTTGCCCTAAGTTTTGGATTCCCTAGCTACATCCTCTGCTTTTCTACTAGATTTTGCATTTCTGCCATCTAATTTTTATTTTCCTAGTATTTTTGTTGCTGTCATTCTCTAAAGATTATTCTTGTCAAAACTACCATTTTGTTCCTGTCTTACAATATTTTCCCTTATTTCTCTGAGAACTGTAATGACTTCCCCCCCCACCCCCATTTTTGTTCTTCCTCCATAGTTTCAGTGTCCTTTTTCTTTTTTTACTATACAGGTTTATCAGAGGTGTAATTTGTATGCCATAAAATTCACCCACTGTGTCTAATTCACTGATGTTTAGCATATTTCTTGAGTCAGTCAACCATCACTTCAGTCTAATTTCAGAACATTTCCACCACCCCACAAAGGTCTTTGGAGCCTGCTTGCATCTTCATTTCTAACCCTAGTCCCAGTCAACCAGTACTCTGGCTTCTGTCTGTATACTTTTCCCTTTTCTAGGCATTCCGTATAAATAGAACCATAGTGTATGCCCTTCTGGGTCTGCTTTTTCATGTTATGTGCTGTTTTTGAAGGCCATCTTTTTGCAGCATCAGGAGCTCATTCCTCTCTGTTGTTGCAGAGTGTTCCCTTGTGCTGATGGATCACATTTTGTTTGGACAATCAGCAGTTGACTAGACATTTGGGTTGTTTCCACTTTGGAGGAATTAGAAACATCTTTTTGTCATTTTAATATTTTATTTTGAACTCTGCATTTCACATTAGAGGATTTTTTTTTTCCCCCAAATGTATGACATTCTCTAGCAGTCTGCTCATACTTAGAAAGGAAGGCCAAAAAAGTTACTTGGAAGCTGTATGTGTACATGGTGGGAGGTGGTAAAGGGCTTTGTTGTAATTCTTTGGGGAAATCCTCATATCAGTGGTTTTCATCCTTTTCTCTTGGGCTGGTGGAATTTTCCAGAAAAGGCTCTGCCGATGTCTTGGCTGGAGGGTATAATTCTAGCTTCCAGTATTCTGAGAGTTGAAAGGAGGGAGAAGGATGAGATATCCCAAATTCTAGGACATAACTTTTACTTGATCCCTCTATTATCAGTGGGAGATTCCTGCCTCTTTCAAATTGTGCCTTGTGTCCCTGAGTCCAGAGACCCTCTGTTTTAGTATCTTTTACTGTCCCCACCACCATTCCCACAGTTATCTGGTGCCAATTTCTGAGCCTCCAGGGTTCTGCTCTATAAAGCAGGATACCTCCCAGCTTCACCCACTGCAAGTTTAGGATTAACTTTCTTGGACCCGCTAATCCATCTACCACTTTTCCATCTTCTTTGCAGTATCCGGCATTTTACTGCTATTGTGTTCTTTCCTGTTTTCATTATGGGTTTATGCTTCTATAAAAATCCTTTTACTCTCATTTTCATAGCATTTTCATTGGGAAGAGAGTATTTATTCAACCAGCCATCTTTAATGAGAATCACAATTTAATTCTTTCATGAAAAATGCAACTTCCAATTCCAAATAATTTATGAAAATACCTCACCCTCAAGGAAGTGCTGCATAAGCCTCCACTCCTTAACTGTGTGCTGCACATAGCAACTTCTGTCCAAGAGCACAGAGCAGGAAGGAGGGGTGAGGGAGGAAGGGCTTTATGGTGGAGACACCTGATAAACCCTCCCACAGCCAGGTGATCAAGGTCTACATCAACAGTGGTGAGTCATGCAGATAGTATGCACCCTTCGTGGTCCCACTCCCCCAAACCTGTAACCTCAGTCTAATCATGAGAACACCAGATAAACCCCAATCAAGGGACAATCTACAAAGTACCTGACCACTACTTCTCAAGCGGCTTCCCCAGTGGTTCAGTGGTAAAGAATCCGCCTGCAGTGCAGGAGCTGCAGAAGCCAAAGGTTTGATCCCTGGGTCGAGAAGATCCCCTGGAGGAGGGCATGGCAACCCACTCCAGTATTCTTGCCTGGAGAATCCCATGGCAGAGAAGCCTGGCAGGCTATGGTCTGTGGGATTGTAAAGAGTTGGCCTGACGTGATTGAGCATGCATGCACTACTTTTCAAAACTGTCAAAGTCATCAAAAGCAAGAAAAGACTGGAGAACTGCCATTACTAGGAGGAACCTAAGAAAATATGACAAATAAAGGTAATATAGTAACCTGGGTAGGATCCTGGAACAACAACAACAACAAAAAGAGCATTGGGCAAAATCCAAGGAAATCTGAATAGTGTATGGACTTTGTGTGTGTTAGTTGCTCCGTCATATCTGACTCTTTAAGACTCCATGGACTGTATGTAGCCCACCAGGTTCTTCTGTCCATAGAATTCTCCAAGCAGAAATAATGGAGTGGGTTGTCATTTCCTTCTCCAGAGGATCTTCCCGAACCAGGGATCGAACCTAGGTGTCCTGCATTGCAGGTGGATTCTTTACCATCTAAGTCACCAGGGAAACCACTTTAGGTAGAGTAGAAAGAAGTAGAAAGTGTTAGTTGCTCAATATTTACGTAGCAATGTTCATTAATTGTGACAAATGTACGGACTATATTAATGGGGAAACAGCAGTGGGACATGTGGGAATTCTTTACTATCTTTGCAACTTTTCTATAGATGTTAAAAGTATTCCTTTTAAAAATTTATTAAATTTATTAGGGGACTTCCCTGGTGGTCCATTGGTTAAGAATCTGCCTTCCAACGCAGGGGACATGGGTTTGATCCCTGGTCGGGGAACTAAGATCCCACATGCTATGGGGCAACTAAGCCTTCATGCTACAACTACTAAGCCTGCATGCCACAACTACAGAGAAGCCAAGCGCTGCACTAGAGAACCCCATGCGCCACAGTGAAGATGCATAACAGCCAAAATTCTCTTAAATTAAAAGTAAATGAATCTCTCATTTATACTTTGGGTATTTATTGACACCACTATGCTGACAGAAAGGTACCAGAAATTACCATTTTACAATTTGACTCATATTGACCAAAACTACTAGCAATCTGTTCCAATTCATGTATTTGAACACTTCATTCATTCTCTTTTTCAAATATTTCTTGAGCAAGTACTATGTTCCAGGAAATAAATCTGGTACCAAGCCGCAGAGATTAATAAAATATGATTCCTATCCCACAAGAAATTTGCTTTCTGGAAACACAGACTGTCCTAGAACACTTCTTATCTTCTACTTCTCTGGAAGCAAACCAGCTACAATGAACATATTTTGCTATCCCTATGGCAACCCAGTCCAGTATTCTTGCTGGGATAATCCCATGGGCAGAGGAGCCTGGTGGGCTACAGTCCATGGGCTCACAAAGAGTCGGACATGACTGAGAGGCTAGCACACGCACGCCTTACAAGTACGAAGAAAATAATAGCTGAAATTCTTCTCTAGCTTTTAAACTCTTTTGTTTAGGTGAGACGTGGAATCCATTAAAATTGCATTATCAGTTAAGAAACGTGCGGGAACGATTAGCTAAAAACCTGGTAGAAAAGGGCGTGCTGACCACAGAGAAACAGAACTTCCTCCTCTTTGACATGACGACGCACCCCCTCACCAACAACAGCATTAAGCAGCGCCTCATCAAGAAGGTGCAGGAAGCCGTTCTCGACAAGTGGGTGAACGACCCTCACCGCATGGACAAGCGCCTGCTGGCCCTCATCTACCTGGCCCACGCCTCCGACGTCCTGGAGAACGCATTCGCGCCCCTGCTGGACGAGCAGTACGACGTGGCCACCAAGCGGGTGCGGCAGCTCCTGGACTTGGACCCCGAGGTGGAGTGTCTGAAGGCCGGGACCAACGAGGTGCTGTGGGCGGTGGTGGCGGCCTTCACCAAGTGAGCCTGCCCCGAACCACGCGTCCCCCTTTCTCTCTCGGGAACCAGTCGTTTTTCTTCTTGGACTTCTGGTTTTCTGCAGTGTGTACTTCCCACACTGTAATTGGCTTCTGTTTCATGAAATGGTGGGTGGCTTTTCCTGTTGTGGGTGTGTGCATGCAAGAAGCTGTGGGTGTGAGAGAACTTTCTGCTCAGGTTTAGAAGCCAGAAAGTTTTACTGCCTTTTGGCATTTCATTCCTTCTTGAGTTCAAGAGAGTTGCTATTCTTACTGTAACAAGTTTTGGATTTTTGTTGTGTTTTCTTTCAAACTACCTCCAATTTTTTGTTGTTGCTTTTTGGGTTTTGGGGGGGTTTTTTTTGCAAATTTTTAAAAATTAAAGTACAGTTGACTTACAGTGTTGTGTTAGTTTCAGGTGTACAACAAAGTGATTCAGTTGTACATATAGGTTATTTTCAGATTCTTTTTCCTTATATGTTATTGTAAAATACTAAGTATAGTTCCCTGTGCTATACAGTAGGTCCTGGTGGATTGTTTTATATGTAATAGTGTGTATATGTTAATAAAGTGAAACTGACAGTGAAGATCGCTCAGTAGTGTCTGACTTTTTGCGACCCCAAGGACTATACAGTCCATGGAATTCTCCAGGCCAGAATACTGGAGAGGGTAGCCTATCTCTTCCCAGGGATCAAACCCTGGTCTCCTGCATTGGAGGCAGATTCTTTACCAGCTGAGCCACCAGGAAGCCCAAGAATATGGGAGTGGCTAGCCTATCCTTTCTTCAGCGGATCTTCCAGACCCAGGATTCGAACCAGGGTCTCTTGCATCGCAGCTAGATTCTTCACCAACTGAGCTACCAGAGAAGTCCCATATGTTAATACCAACCTCCTAGTTTACCTCTCACTACCCCTTTGGTAGCCATAAGTTTGTTTCCTTTGTTTGTGGGTCTATTTCTGTTTTGTAAAGTAAGTTCATTTGGATCATTTTTTTTTTTAGAATCCACAATAAGCAATATGATATTTGTCTTTGTCTGATTTACTTCACTTAGTGTGATAATCTCTGGGTCCACCCATGTTGCTGAAATAGGTTTTTTCATTCTTTTTTATGGCTAAGTAATACTCCATTGTATGCATGTACCACATCTTCTTTATACACTTCACTGTCAGTGGACCTTTAAGGTTGCTTTAATGTCTTGGCTGCCATGTCATAGTACTGATACGAACATTGGGGTGCATATATCTTTTTTTTAAACTACCTCCAGCTTCAAAAGCACATCATTAGCATCTCTTGAGTTTAAGTTTGTCCACAAGTACAAGTCCTTCTGTATTCTTAACTCACCAAAAGTAAAAAGCTGTACATATCAGGGTATATTTTGGTAAAGTTCAATCAAGATACATACCTTAACAGTTTTTTTGTTGGTATTAAGCTAAATGAAATGAGTCAGAGGAAGACACATATTGTATATCACATATATACAGTATCTAAAAAAGCCAAACTCATGGGAACAGTGAATAGGTTACCAGGGGCTGAGAGTAGGGGAGATGGGGAGATGTTGGTCAAAAATTACAAACTTCCATAAGATGAATGAGTTCTGGAGATCTAATGTACAGCTTGGTGATTATAGTTAATAATATTGTACTATTTACTTGAAAGTTTCTAAGAAAGGAGATCTTAAATGTTCTCACCACAAAACAGAAATGGGGTGCTCACTTCGGCAGCACGTATACTAAAATTGGAACGATACAGAGAAGATTAGCATGTCCCCTGTGCAAGGATGACATGCAAATTCGTGAAGTGTTCCGTATTTTTAAAAGAAAAAAGAAAAAAAAAGATTGAGTATATGACAGTGTCAGTTTCTGAATGAAAGGAATAGAATACAATTGTTTTAGGAGAGAAATTACAGGCAGGATGTCAGCACTGGTGAGCAACAGTTTAGAGAGGTTGAAGATCTTTTGAGTATTGATCTTTAATCTTTTTAAAAAATTGATACATAATTGACATTACATTGGGGGGCCTGGCATACTGTGATTCATGGGGTCACAGAGAGTTGGACACGACTGAGCGACTGAACTGAACTGACATTACATTACATTTCAGATGTTCAATGTAATGGTCAAATATTTGTATATATTGTGAAATGTTTATCATCATCAATAGAAATTTTTTTTCTTGTGATGAAAATTCTAAGATCTCCTACTCAGTTCAGTTCAGTCACTCAGTCGTGTCCGACTCTTTGCAACCCCGTGGGCTGCAGCACGTCNGCTATGGTGGTCATCAGGGCTTCCCAGGCAGTGCTAGTGGTAAAGAACCCACTTGCCAATGCAGGAGATGTTAGAGACTCAGGTTCGATCGCTGGCTCAGGAAGATCCCCTGGAGAAGAGGATGGCAACACACTCCAGTATTCTTGCCTGGAGAAACCCCGTGGACAGAAGAGTCTGGTGGGCTACAGTCCATAGAGTCACAAAGAGTCAGACAGGACTGAAGCAACTTAGCACACACACATGGGGTCATCACTTTGCAGTACTTAAGTGTATCAGATCAATAGGTTGCACACCTCAAACCTCCATACTACTGTATGTCAGTCAGGTTTCAATGAAGTGAGACAATTTTTTCTTTCTATAATCTTATCATATATTTTCACTATTAAATCATAAAAGGGAATTGCTCCATAAAGTTAATTGGATTATGTACATCTATTGATGCTGTGTATAGTGTGGACTTCACCTGAATCACTCCTAGAATTGCTGTATCAATACACAGCTGTTACCATAGCTTTATAATAAATCCCAATATCTGGGAGGATGTGTCCTTCTACAAAATTGCATTGGTGATTCTGAGCCCTTTGCTCTTGCATAAAATTTTAGGAACATCTTATCAAGTTTCTTGAGCCATCCTATTGGGATTTTGATTGGTATGACATTGACTGTACAGATTTATTAGAAGGAACTGACATCTTTATGACACTGAGTCTGTCTAGGGACATAGCATAACTTTCTGTGGTAAATTAAATACAACTCTACCTTATTTGCAGCTCCTTCCATTAAGAGAGAGAGTCTATTCTGCCACCTCTTGAATATGGGCTAAATTTGCTCTCCACTCTTATCCAACAGAATGTAGCAGAAGTGACATCTTGCAAGTTTCAGAGCTTGGGACAAATGAAGTGATGTGGTGTCTGCCTTCATCTTCTTGGAATGCTGCCTTGAGACCACCATACCATAAAGAAGCCTGGGGCAAAATGGCCTATGGAGGAGAAGCTCAGCTGTCCCAGCTAAGTTCAGCAGCCCGCCAGCGGACCTGCCAGCTGCAGGCAGCTGTGCGTATGAGCCTCAATGAAAGCAGCAGAGAACTGTTCAACCAACCCAGGGAATTACATGAGATGGCATTGATTTAAGCTGTTAAGTTTTGGGGTGTTTTATTCAACAACAAAGACTAGTCCGGGCTTCCCAGGTGGCGCTCGTGGTAAACAACCCACCTGCCAATGCAGGAGACATAAGAGATGCAGGTTCAATCCCTGGGTCATGAAGACCCCCTAGAGGAGGGCATGGCAACTCACTCCAGTATCCTTACATGGAGAACCCCATGGACAGAGGAGCCTTACAGTTTACTGTCCATAGGGTTGCAAAGAGTTGGACACGACTGAAGCAACTTAGCACACACACATGCAAAGGCTAGTTTAAAGAGAAGCTGGTACCTAAAAATGAGGTGCAGTTGCAATAAAAACCTAACACATGTCATGGTCTTGACACTGGGTAGTAGATAGGAGCTGGAAGGGTAGCAAGGAGACTATTGGAAGAAGCTGGAAAGTCAGTGAGTAAGCTGCTCTTTTTTATTTTATTTTATTTATTGGCTGTGCAGGGGCTTCTCACTGCAGCGGCTTCTCTTGTGGAGCATGGGCTCTAGGTGCACGCAGGCTTCAGTAGTGAGGCACACGGGCTTAGTTGCCCAGCGGTCTGTGGGATCTTCCTGGACCAGGGATCAAACTCATGTCCCCTGTATTGGCAGGTGGACTCTTAACCACTGGACCACCAGGGAAGTCCAGGAAACTACTATTGAAGTCAGGAAGGATGGTAAACCGTGTCTTGTGCTAGTGAAAAGTTGGCAAGATCATTACCAACGAACACCATATAAAGCAGAAGAACCACCTGGTCAACCTGTAGAATCATGAGAAATATTGAATTATTGTTTCATTAAGACAATAAATTTGAGGGTAGTTTACATAATAAATAGTTGAAAGACAAACTCATGAATCTGGTTGTCTTGAACTGAATTGTGTCCCCTCAGAAATTATATATTTTAGAATGGGACACAGAAAGGCTTTATTTGTGAACAAGTTTGTCAACTTGGCTATAGAGTGATCAGGTGGGAACAATAAGATCATATAAGGGAACCCTCAAAGGCCAAAATGTAGCAGTCTTTTCTCTAGGACTGTTCAATTTCTCAACTGAGAGACCTCTAGTTTCTTGACCACGTGGTAGCTATCTTGCTGCAGGTATTCTCAGAGAGAATGACTGGTGGTGGAGACAGAAGCAATGATGATCATCCTTCTTCTGGCTTATCCTGCACAAAGAAGACAAAATGATAAATCCTGGTAACAGACTCAGATTTCCCAATTATCTTTTCAGTGCCTTACTAGAAAATATAAACAAAACAAGGATCCCCAAACATCTGTTTTTCCATCAGTTCTGTTTTCAGTCCTACATCTCATTTTTGCCTACCAATATACGTCCGGTTTTTGGTCTCCAAGTTCTCTAGGGTTCTAGCAGTCAAATCTTCCTTCTTGCCCCAGTCTTCCTTTCAGTCAGTTCAGTCACTCAGTCGTGTCTGACTCTTTGCAACCCCATGGACTGCATCTCACCAGGCTTCCTTGTCCATCACCAACTCCTGGAACTTGCTCAAACTCATGTCCATCGAGTCAGTGATGCCATCCAATCATCTCATCCTCTGTCATCCCCTTCTCCTCCCATCTTCAGTCTTTCCCAGCATCAGGCCCTTTTCCAAAAAGTCAGTTCTTCACATCAGGTGGGCAAAGTATTGGAGTTTCAGCTTCAGCGTTAGTCCTTCCAGTGAATATTCAGTACTGATTTCCTTCAGGATTGACTGGTTGGATCTCCTTGAAGTCCAAGCGACTCTCAA